TAATTACAAACATTCACGAAATGAAGCAGAATGAAGGATCGGAGCGCAGGGTCAGACTGTCCCTGGAGCCGTGAGGGTAAAGGGCCTTGCTGAAGAACCTGAGTGTATCACTGTGCCAGCCGTGGGATTGGAACTAGCAATCTTCCAAGCACAGAGTCCTAAAAGCAGAAGCACACACCACCCAACAAAAGTGCCCCCCCACGCTCCTATTAGACACACACATCCTGGTGAGAGCAAAGCCATTTACTGTATCCTGCACCCTGGGGCAGTGTTTGGGGATAAGGGCCTTGCTGCAGAGCCTAGGGGTGATATGATACTCTGCGGGACACGGGGTTTGAAACAGCAACCTTCTGGGCATTGATGTCCAACCTAGAGAACCACATACCATCTTATGTGCATGTTCAATATTCCATATTCAAAACCACTACAAAGTCATGTTGTAGATTGCTTAACCCTCACCAGTGTGTAACTATGTAACTCAGCCAGATCAGAAGCTATATCAGGTCATTAATAATGGGTTCCTGTAATAATGAAGCTCCAGCCAATGTTCACATGTATCCTGATGTTGTTACACTGTTTCATACGTTTATCAGACACATTCATTGTTTCATTGCCCATCTGTCTGGTTGCTGTTGCTTTATCCTTGGTGCTCGTTACTGTAAGTCAGTGATCAGTGCATCTCACACACAGGGTCACACAGGCGTCCTCATCAGCAGGCTGTGCGGCATTTAAAGAGACGGATCATGATAAAAACAGACTGCAGTGCCACACCATGACTGAGCAGAGCAGCTATAAGACAGCGGAGCTTTAACTGCTAATACAGTAACTTACAGAGAGAGAAATAAACCTGCATTAATGATCCTTCCTGACCTTCAGTCAGTGATTCATTTTCTGATTACATTTTTTCTGCTCCACATAGTTTAAATCTCATGACTGTTGTTGATTGTAAAGCTGCTAAAAGTTTAGAAAAAAATAGACAATATTTTGTACTGTGTGTGTGTGTGTGGGGGGGGGGGGGGATATCAGGTCTGAACATTCATCTCATTTTGTTTCTGTCGCCTTCTGGCAGAGGAGATGAACCTGAAATTAAAATTAGACAGAAATGAGAAAAAACATCCTGAATGCAGCTGGAGGACAAATCAGACAAAACAAATAAACAAACTCATGTATACAGATTCTCTGTGTGAATTTATGTTATATAAAGTTTCAACAAAATAGAACTTCTGCAGGTAAGGCAATTGTATTTAATGATTTCAGATAATGACATCAATATTAAAACAGACGCACTGTTGAACCACAAAGTGCAGATGTTCTGTAAACATAGCAAAGGTCTGGATTTAATGAATAAACTGAAAAATCACACACTTTAAATATGACATCACACAAACATCCAATTCTATACAATACTGATTATTAATATTTCTTAATGGCATTTACATTCAGTGAAAGGCAATGATTCATAACATTTTACTGAACGGATTCACAGCTGAAGTCTGACTGTATCTACAAGCATAAGCTCTGCTGTCATTGTAGCCTCAAACACAAATGACAAGTGACACTATCAGCTGTGTCCATGTGAGGGAGCCACAGGCCACATTCTGTGCAGTGAAGCCCCAGAGCCACACAGAGCCGCCTGGGTCAGATCCGGAATAACCAGGGCGTTTGGCTTAACTGGGTAATATGCATTTGAACAGAGCAGAGATTCAACAGTAGACTGAAAAATCAGTGCTGATAAAAATCAGAGCAAAAAAATCATATAAAGCTTCTTTTCTCCAACATTTTCTTAAACTATAGCACATACACAGCTTATATGACAGCAACGAATAATAAAAAAAATTAAATGAATGTGCTCCTAACAGTGTAAATAACTTCTCAGAAGGTAAATTCCATTGTAACAGGACTTACTGTGACATCATGGAGGGTGAACTCATGCTTTTGGTCGCTGTTGGCTGGAGTTCTCAGAATCAGTGTCAGACGCTACAGTGAAAAACCCAAAGATAAACTCACAGGGTTTGGTTATATTCTATACATACATACTAAAGGACTGCAGGCAATTTATTCAAGGTGATATTTCCACTTAAATCAATTTTAAATTTAAATGCTCTTTATACACATATTCAGTCTTGGCAACAGCAATACAGGGTAACAATACTCACTGCCGGCTTTCCCATAGCCTGAAACACAGAGGGACACAGAGTCAGACACAGGCACTCANATGCTCTTTATACACATATTCAGTCTTGGCAACAGCAATACAGGGTAACAATACTCACTGCCGGCTTTCCCATAGCCTGAAACACAGAGGGACACAGAGTCAGACACAGGCACTCAGACTCTGTGCATCATTCGGGTGTCAGAGGCACCAGTATAATGACTGTGTGCAGTTACATGCTTTGAAACATGTCACTTGTGTTTCAGTTGGACGCCATTGTTCTCTCTGTCTGTCGGCTTTTCTGTTACCTGTCCTGCTCCTCCTCCACAACACGACCCCAACGGCAACAGCAACGAGAGCCAGAGCAGCAGCTACACAGCCGATGATGATGCCCCAGGAACTGCCTCCTAAAATAAGGTTAAAGCACCATGTTCACCCCTGACAGTGACGCCCATTAGCTGCTCTCTCTCATTACTGTGTCGCTGCTCCTCTTACCCTGATTGGTCCTTATGTTCTTCTCCTCCAGCAGCACAACAATGTCATCCTGGAGGCTCTTGTGCTGCACGACACAGCTGTAGCTGTTCATCTTCCAGTCCTCAGGCTTCATCGTGAGTTTTGATGTGATCTGGAATGTTCCGTCCCCGTTTGGCAGGGTCTCCCCCACCTCCACATCGCTGTGCATGTCTACTCCATCTTTCCTCCAGGTCACCACGATCCCTTTGGGGAAGAAGTCGGTTGTGTGGCAGGTGACAGGAGAGGAGGGGTCCTTCTGCAGCAGAGACACCTCAGGCCGGACTTGGGGAGAAAGACAAAAACATCCATAAATAAAACGCTACACTTCATCACCAGCAATCTCTCCTTTAAATACATAATGTGATTAATATTCTACACATTTTAAGCCTGCATCAGGACAGGGACAGATGTGCCCCCCCCAGCTGTATTTCTTAGTGTTTCTGTCAGGAAGGTGTTAATGATCTAATATCATGTGAGCCTAGTTTCAACAATCTTACAATCAGCTTTGACTGTAAGTTAAGAAACTGGTTGACCAATGTTTTGGCAGGAAAGTGGATTAAGGTGCCGCTTTGCCCTCCAGTGTGTTGCAGCCTGACACTCAGTGTATCTGCTAAGCAGCACAGTCCCAGGCCTGCTGTACTGTACCTGTCCTCTCCAGTGTGCTCTTCCCGTAGCTCACATACTTCTTCAGCCACTCAGTGCAGGTCTGGGTCAGGTAACTTTTCCAGTAATCTAACTGAGCTCTGTCACTTTCCCAC